TTGGTTGTTTCTGAGCTAGATGGCCGCTTGTTTGCCTACAAGCCTTTAAGACCCCAGATGCTATATCTTTTGATAGCCGGGCACCATCAGCTTTCTTACCTTACCACTCTCTTTGTTTCTGCTGGGTTTTCTAGTATGTGAAGCACAGGAGTAGATTCATAGAGATAAGAACTGATGCAAGGGTTTATAGGGGAGGTATGGGAGCGGGTGAGAGAAATGGAGTGGAGGGGTGGGAGCACTAGAACTGTTGATTACACAACTCGTTTTAAAAAGTGATTTAACCATGGAGGGTGTTCTTAAATTAATTGTGGCATTGATTGTACAACTCTTCTTGATATGATTGAACTACTGAATTGTGTGATATGTGGATTAGGGGTCAATACAACTGTTAAAAAGGGGGGAAAAAGGTCTGGCCATCTGCTTCCAAAAGCTTCTGCCATCGAGTCTATTGCAACTCATCGTGGCCCCAAAGGACACTGCCCCTGTGGATTTCCAAAACTGTAAATTTTGGGGTGAGCAGAAATCTCATCTCTGAAAGTGTGATCTTATGGATCACAACTGTACTCTGATATGCCTTGGGTGATGAGTCAGAGTGGACTTGATGCACCTGTTTGGTTTTTGTTTTTATAGCTAGACTGTAAAATGATATGAGTATGGGAGAGACTGGATACCAGGTGTTAGTGAGGTGGTGATGTGACTAGATTACGCATACCCTGCTGCTATGAATGTAAAATGTTACAACTTTGGAGTTCAGTGAGCAGCAGTTTCTTTTTTTAAATTACAAATTCATCGACCCTTTGGCCCCTCCTGTCCATTCCTAGGTATTTACTCAAGAGAAAAAGTACATCTATCTAAAAGGTTGCACACAATTCTTTACAGCAGCTTTATTCATTATAGTCTGAAATAACCCAAAGGTCCATCAACAACTGAACAGATTTTTTGAAAAATGGCACAGTATACAATGGATTACTATTCAGCAATAAAAAGGAACTGTTGACACATGCATCATGTGTTAATAGCTATGCCTAGTGGAACAAAGCTACATTCCACCCCTCTGCCCCATCACCATCAGAACATAAATACATACTGCATGATTCTGCTTAAATAGAAGATAAAAAAAGGATGACATAAAGTAAACCAATTATTTGCTTGTTAATTGCAAGGTGGGAGGTTAGAAAGAATTGAGGGAGTAGGAAGGGCCATGGGAAATCTTTTGAGTGTATTCAGTGTTCATTATTGTAATTGTGGTAATATCAGGTAAATGCTAAAATATATCAAACTTCACAATTAACCAAGTGGTTATTGCATGTGAATCATACCTCAATAGAGTTATTAAGGACAAAATGTTCTACATAAATATTCATTAGCTTCCATGCCCCTGGTTAAGTACTCAGCTGCTAACCAAAAGGTTGGCAGTTCAAACCCACCCAGCTGCTCTGAAAGAGAAAAACCTGGTGCTAAGCTTCCCTAAAGGTATAGCCAGAAAACCCCCTGGTGATTTCTATTCTGTCATATGGGATCATTACAAGTTGGAACCAACTCAATGGCACCCAAGAACCACCACCACCATGCTTTCTTGGAAAATCGGATCTGCCAACTACTTTGCCTCTACCATAGATGAGGCAAGCCTTAATGGTAGCAGAAACTAAAGTGCAATGAAGTCTCTGTCTACTTTATTCACTAGGAATTTTGACTGAGCGAGACCCAACCCTGAACTAAACAACCTGTATTGAAGGACTTGCTTTCTCACAGGCCTGCAATGGCCACAAGATCCAACACTCTTGGGAAACTCCAAGTCTCTAGAATCCTTGCTTATTAGCCATTCCACAGGAGACAGGGGTCTGCAGGTCCTGAACAATCTCATACATCTCCATCCCTTACAGCCATAATCATACGGGCATCTGTAGATGTGATTTTAAAACAAACACACCCCTTCTTTCAGTCTTCCCAATACCCAGTTTCACTGCACTACTTGATTCCCACCAGATCCAACATCTCTTACATTCAGTGGTAACTGCCTATGGAACTCTGGACATCAGTGGGCTGGCTCCTGTCCAGGTCTGAGAAACAGTGCTTCCTCCAGAGTACTGGAGAATGTAAGCCAATCCCCAGAACAAAGAATGCAACTCATGCTGCTCTCAGTAGCACAGGAGGATGCTGTCAAAATTTCCCTTCTCAGGACGTCCTCTGGGCTTACAGAAAACCCGGAGCCAGGTCACAGGGCTCTTCAGTTCTATGTGGCACTTCCGGGGAACATGCAAGTTAGGTCGGACAGCCAACAGCTGTTCTCTGCCATCTCCCCATGCTAGGCACAAAATGATGGGCGGGGCCGGGTGGGGTGAGCACAATATGTTCCTCTTTCCATGCTGGTAAACCCAATTCTTTTCTCAACTCCCTTAGCACTATAAACAGAACACCCCCCCCTCCCCCCCAAAGAGGCTTACACAATAAGGCATTATACAAATTAGAGCAGCATGAGGAAGGCAGTTACAGGGTTAGGTGACTCAGAAGCAGGCCAAATTCATCAGCGCTCACACATGTACAGCCAACATCATCCATGAAGAGGCACTGTTCTGGAAGCATTGAGTAGATGCCAGCTCAAAGCCTTTTGGCCAAAGTTAGGCCATGTACACTCAGAAGCCAGTCATAATGGAGAAAATGATGACCAAGTGTGCTCAAAATAATTATGATTCTCTCCAGGATAGGAAAGAGAACACTGAAGTGTGTATCCTCTGACCATGTTGGGGTGATGGACACACAGTATGGGACCCCGATGACTGGTAGCTATAAATGGCTTCCACTATAGGCACTGGCAGTGATAGAAACCTAGGACAACAACCCAGGACAATTCAGAATGGAACTCACGAGAGCTTCCAATTCACATGGCACTCAATGGGAATGTCCCCAGGGTGAGCAGCTGAATGGAGAAGGCTCACCTGCTGCCTAATAGATCTCTCACACAGGGTACTCAGTGTTGTAAGTACTACTGTGCTGAACAAGGTGATAGCCTATTCACAGAAGCAAAAAGTAGGAAATCACCAAAATGCCCACCAATGGAAGAACAGATATACTTTGGTAGACGCACACAACAGAATACTATAGAATGTTAAAGAATAACCATAAATCTGTAAGACACTTCAAAACATGGATGAATCTGGATTACATTATGCTGAATGAAACTAGTCAATCACAAAAGGGCAAATATTATATGAGAAAGTTATTATGAAAAATCAAAACCTTTTCATATAAAAGAAACACTCTTTGATGGATACCAGAGGTAGAAGGAGGAAGACAGGAGTGTAGATAAGTGTTAATTTGGGTGAAGGGAAAGTCAATAGACAACAATGAGGAGGTTCAGAAAAAAATCATGGAGACAGGAGAAGACAATGAAAAGTTTTCAAGAATTAGAGGCAACCAAGGCAAATACTGTTATATATGCAATCTTACGGTAGTGGTGGTCGATGAGTAGATGCTTGAATTGACACACAGGCTAAATAGGTGTAGGAAAGAGAGTGAGTGTATACACACAAATGTATACAGGTTTGACAAAGGATATCTTTACAAGGGTATATCCATGAATGTGGTAGAGCTTATGGGGGAAACGTTTATATAAATCAACTTAGATATAACCAAACTCCTTGAGGGAATGAGTTTTGGGGACTGGGGGAACCACAGTCTCAGGGGACACAAAGGTCAGCTGGAATAATATAGTCCACAAAGACAATATTATATATTCTACTTTGGTGAATAACAACTGGTGTCTTAAAAGCTCTTAGTGACCACCTAGGGTGTCTACATTACTTTCTTTTCATCCAGAGGAAAAATGATAGAAGTCTAAAGATATTTTGTAAACAATTAGTCCAGTGGACTAATGTACACATAAACATCAGTCTCCACAACCATTAGACCAGAATTAGATGTGTCCTGGCTGTCATTATCAACTGCTCTGAAAGGGATGGCATTAGAAGGTTCTGGAAAGAATGGAAGGAAAATGTGAAACAGAACTCAAAATCTTAAGAGACCTGGGTTACTGGTTGGACAGAGACTGGTAGGACCCCAAGACTATGGCCCTTATTCACTGAACTCACACCCATGTTAGAATAAGCAACCATTCAAGATCAAAGGCCAGCATTTATCTAAGGACATAGTCCAGGTTAGGAAAGGATGAGGAACGGAAGCAAGAAAGACAGGAAGGAAGTGTGATAAGCAATGGTACACTAAGGGGATTTGTGTATGAACTGTCGAGAGTAAAACAGATGATCAGCTCTGTAAGCCACCTAATTCACAAAAAGAAAAATTAATAAAAACAAAAAAACAAGAGCAACGAAACAGTACATTGTATGCACTCATAAAATCATTCTAGTGTGAATATTTTGGTATAAACAAGTTATAGAGCTACAGCTACAGGGTCACCAAAATCATTGCACTCATGAGGCCTTTCATCAGTGTGTACTTTCTTGTGTCGAACAAGATGGGAGCTTCTGCTGTAGGCTTTCCCACATTCACCACACACATACGGCTTTTCTCCAGTGTGGACTCTCTGGTGTAAAACAAGGCTAGAATTGCGGCTAAATAATTTCCCACATTCAGTGCACTCATAAGGTCTTGCTCCAGTGTGGACTTTCTTGTGTTGGACAAGGTGAGAGCTACTGATGTAAGCTTTCCCACATTCACTGCACACGTAAGGCCTTGCTCCGGTGTGAACTCTCTGGTGTAGAATGAGGCTGGAGTTGTGGCTAAAGCATTTTCCACACTCATTGCACTCATAAGGCTTTGCTCCAGTGTGAATTCTCCGATGGACAATGAGGTTGGAGCTATGGCTGAAGAATTTCCCACACTCACCACACTCATAAGGCCTTTCTCCAGTGTGGATTTTCTGGTGCTGCACAAGTGTGTCTTTGCGGCTAAAGGCTTTCCCACATTCACAGCACTCATAAGGCCTTACTCCAGTGTGAATTATTTGGTGCTGAACAAGTGTATCTTTGCAGCTAAAGGCTTTTCCGCATTTGTTGCATACATAAGACCTTGCTCCTGTATGGACTCTCCGATGCTTAATGAGGCTGGAATTATGGCTAAAGAATTTCCCACATTCAATACACTCATAAGGCCTTGCCCCAGTATGGATTCTCCAGTGCTCAATAAGGTGGGAACTTTGGCTAAAGAATTTCCCACATTCACTACACTCATAAGGCCTTTCTCCAGTATGAAATCTCTGGTGCTGAACAAGGGTGTCTTTGCGGCTAAAGGCTTTCCCACATTCATCACACTTGTAAGGCCTTTCTCCAGTATGAATTCTCTGGTGCTGAACAAGGTGAGAGCTCCTGCTATAGGTCTTTCCACATTCACTGCAGTCATAAGATCTTTCTCCGGTGTGAACTCTCTGGTGCTGAACGAGGGTGTCTTTACGGCTGAAGGCCTTCCCACATTCGTTGCATGTGTGATGCCTTTTTCCTGTATGAAATTTCTGGTGTGTTCTGAGGTGGGACAGGTGAGTGAAGGCTTTTCCACATTCCTTACACACATAAGCCTTTTCACCACTGTGAGTTTTTCTGTGTTTAATAAGAGCGGATTTCTCCTTGAAGCCATTTCCACAGGTGAGGCATCTGAAGGGTCTTTCAGTCTGCGTGATCCAGTTGTCAAGCAGAGCAAAGGTCTTCAGAAAGGCTTCCCCATACTTGCTACACTTGAAGAGGGTCTGTCCAGCATGGGCACCTTGGTGCTGCCCCAGAGCTGAACTCTGAGAGAAGGATTCTGTGCACGAAGTCCTTTTGGATAAACTCATCCTAGTCTGTTCCTGGAAGAGACCAGGGCTGTCCAGGAAGTGCATTCCTTCCTCCCTGTACATGAAAGGCCACCTTGAAATGTAGACTCCACAGCTCTTTTCAAATGAGGCCTGACTGTCATCCTTTCTAAAAGGATTCTCTATATTGTGTTGCTCTTCCTGCTGCTCAAAGTTTACACGAGGCAAGAAGTCTCTTCCACTTGACCCACAGGTGTACATTTTCTGCGTGAGAACTGATCCCTGGTGCTGAGCCAGTTGTACAATGTCTTCTAAGAATGGGCCACAGTTCTCACAGGGGTTGGCTTTCTGGGTGGGCAGAATTCTGACGTGTGATACTCCTTCCACAGAAACATCCTGCTCAGACAGTGTTTCCTCCTCTGCATCACGCCAACATCCTGAAAGCAGAAACATGCTGGTGAATATAGACTGACTTGGGTGCAGAGTGGAAGGCTCATCATCAAAGTGTGTGTGACATAACTAGAAACTAGTCTATGGGATTGCTGGTGGCATCGGAGAGTTAGAATCAGTGATTACAAGTCAGTGCTAGGCCTCCAGGGGTCACAAAATGAAGGAAGTAAACATTGGGTAAAGACACAATGATGGTAAACAGAAACAGAGAGGAGAAACAAGGTCCAAATCCTTGCAGCTGTCAGGTAAGCCCTGTGTAGAAGTGTGAATTCAGGCCCAGGAAATTGTGACTGCAGGGAAATAGCAGGTGTTCAAGGATTAGTAAGGTTATGTGCACACTGCATGACACAGGGAAGTGTTGAGGTAAAATGGGTTCTTCATGTGGTCTTTTACCTTGGCTCTTTGGAAAAGGAGCTTGAGAGATTTTTCCATTAAGTCCCAAGGAATTACCTTTGCTTGATTGTGCTGTGAGATGTGCAATGGCTGCTAACTCTAAATCCAGCGGTTCAACACACCAGCCACTGCAGGAGAAAGCTTGCTGCATGACAGATTTGGTCTTGGAAACCCTGTATCTGGTCACTGTGAATCAGAATCAACTACACGACAATGGGTTTTATTTTCTACCCCAGAAAATATATTTCATGGGTAATTTGTAAACAACTTAGTTTGATACTTTTTGCAAGGTTCTGACCTGCAGCCTGTCCTGTGATTGGTATGTACCTTTCAGGGGTTGGCCAATAGATTATGTAAATGAACTTAGTCATAACCTACTATGCAAATGAGGTGTCTACTGAGGTTTTGGGACCTGCTGGGATGGAGTGGGTGGGCAGGGGTCATGCTTTGAAATTGACAAGAGGTTGTATATATTATATATTAGCTAATATATTATATATTAGCAATCAACCACACAGAGAAGCAGATGGAAGAAAGAAGAGAATGAGAGGAGGCAAGGAACCTGAAAGAGTTATAACATGGGTCAACGGCTTTAACACTGAAGATAGCAACAAGGCCTGAAGAGGCCCAGCAGCAGAGTTGGCGGTGACAGACAGCAATGCTAAGAGTGACCTTAAAGCAGTCTGTCCTGAGAACCTGAGAGGAGCTTCCTGAGTGGGCTGAGAGGAGCCAGGCATTGCCAACAATGAGATCATAAGAGAGAGTAGAGGAGCAGGCTCATGACCATGAGGCAGAGTAGTGAGTTCCTTGGCCCCTGGCCCACAGAACAAAGCAGAGGCAAACGACCATGTGGCTGAGAGACCAAATATCAGAACATAACTGCCAACATGGCTAAGAAGAGGTGCTGTGGACAAAGGAATGGTACCCTTAATATGTGTGTCCTGTTTGCTTCCTCAATAGGCTTCATAATTGTGATGATTTTCTCTGTGTTGTCATTCCAGTGAATTCTCATACCCAGCAGAGAAGTGGAGTCCCATGGGAGGGATGACTGCCGTCAGAATAAAGTAAAAAGGATGGAGGGTGGAGGCATGTCAAGCCTCTGCCTTACGGCAATGAGCCTTGAGGTGGTGTGGAGTTGAGTCTTCTCTGTACAGTCAGAAAAGGTTGGACGTGGACCCCAAAGAATTTCCTCCGGGCCTGTGGAAGGCAACCTCTGATGCCCTGGTATTCTCGCCTTTGTGTAAACCTCCTAACTTAATTGTAAGGTAAATAACTCATTTCTAAAAATCCCACAGCCACCCAGTTGATTTCAACTGTTTGCAACCCTATAGGAGAGAGCAGAGTTCCCCTCTTCCCATCCAGGGCTTCCTCGGCCATGATCTTCACAGAGGCAGGCTGCCGCATCTTTCTTCTGAAAGCAGCACATGGTTCCAAATGCTGACCTTTCAGTTAGCAGTGAGCATTTGAATCACTGCCCCAGCAGGACTCCCTATTTCTAGGAATAGAATATGGCAAACAAAATGGAATGCCATTTTTGAGATAAGAGCACACAAAAAGCTGGCTGAATAAGCAAATGTGGTGAAGAAAGCTGATGGTGCCCGGCTATCAAAAAGTATAGCGTCTGGGGTCTTAAAGGCTTGAAGGTAATCAAGCGGCCA